TCCCCCCCCCCACCCACCTCGTTACTTTGCAAAAGTAGCCTCGAGAAGAAGTCCATATCGAAAAAAAGAAGCCCATCCAAGTTCGCAAAAAATAGAAGCCAGGGCTTCAATTCGGGGTTTACGGTATTAACGTACGTAGGCCTACAAGTAATAGTAGTTAAACATTGCTTTAACAGTAGAACTTTATCAGCTGGGGCGAATGCAGGATTTGGTGGTAGGGGGTGCGTGAGAGTCCACACGACCTCAGGCCCACCATGGATGGGGCTGAGGTGCGAACATTTTGAAAATATTGACCTCTATGTGCCCGGAAATTGCACTCTCATACCTTAAAAATTGTACAGGTACTATGTACATATCAACAATACAATAGAAAAACTTAACACGATTAGGCGGGGAGGGGTGCGATCGCATCGTTGCAGCCCCTGCATCCGCCCCAGATTATTACGGCCCTTCCATTATTATAAAGAATATAGCAATACCGTTACCAGAATAGAATAATTCTTTTACGATTTAAACAGTGGTCTACTAATTCTTCTTATCATGAACTTTTAGCTCTACCACAGTATGGAAGTTTCAAATGCAATGCTCAATACATAATTTAACATTTGATATCTGTAAGCTGTGCACAATATTCGGTACTAGAAAGGTTTTGGACACGTAACCGCAAAATAAATCATCCAAATATGCCACTTGTGACACATCTATCTATTAACATGTTTACAAAAAATGTCGGCGAATCGTCCTGTCGGTAAAGAATCATCTAAATATGCCACTGTGTGACACATTCATCCATTAACATGTTCAAAACAATATCGGCGAATTCGCTGTCGGGAAATTTTCTGTCGGGAAATTGGCTGTCGGCGAACCGCCCTGTCGTCAAACTGGCATTCGGCGAAATGTGGTGTTGGCAAAATCTCGTGTCTGCGAATGCTATTTCGGTCGATAGTCTCTAGGCCAAATGTCTGTCGGTGAAACTTCCGGCCACGGAAATTATTCATCTAAATATGCCACCTGGTGGCACATCCATCCATTAACATGTTCACAAAAAAATGTCGGCGAATTGTCTGTCGGCAAACTGTCTGTCGGCAAATTGGCTGTCGGCGAATCGTCCTGTCGGCAAACTGGCATTCGGCGAAATGGTATTTCGGTCGATAGTCTGTAGGCCAAATGTCTGTCGGTCAAATGTCTGTCGGCCAAATGTCTGTCGGTGAAACGTCCGGCCACGGGAATTGGCAACCGGTACCAAAAAAGGGCAGGGACGGATCCAGAGATGTCCAAAAGTGGGGCCGGAAATTGGGCCGATCGAGACAACACTGCCCTAGGAGGTCCGGGGGCATGTGCCCGCGAAATTTTTGTGTTAAACGCCCGAAAATAACATTTGAGGCGTTCGTTCTGTGCTATCTTTTTTTTTCTTTTTCTTTCTTTCTTTTCCCCCCTTTTTTTTGACCTCCCAAAGGTGGGGGGGGGGGCTAAACCCCCCCCCCACCCCGTGCTAAACCCCCCCCCCTAAATCCGCGCTTGAAGGGCCTCCAGTTTCAGAAAGCTACATAGCCCCAGCCCCATCGTTATGCCACTGGGTAAGTTAATAGCCTTATGTTATAGGCAGGGGTGCATACTTTCACAATGTTTGATTTCCAGCACCTACTTGCCTTGTTCAGACATGAGTAGGCCTAACTGCTGTGACTAATCTGGTACAGTAATAGAAAAAATACCGACCGTCAGACCTCCCGGTGTCGGGTAGTGTAGAAATAAAATGAACGAGTACTCGTTTTACACTAGCAAAATATATTATACTATCAATAAGACATTTTACCAAGTTTGTGTGTTTTTCTAGCTCTTAGGCGGCAATATCAAATTCCAATTTGGTGATCATTAATACAGTACTACGCTCTCTATATTAGAGGTTATGGTTGGCTGTCTAAACAAAATGTTTTCTAAGATCAACATACAGTGCAAGATTGGGCACATCAACGTATGACGTCCTTAATGTATTGTTTGTTGAGTTTGTCCTTTGTTTGTTGAGTTTTGTATTTTGACCCTAATGGCCGCCCATATCTACCGGTATGCCTGCATGTAGATACTCCAGCTTGCACTGTCGACGAACAGTGAAGTGATTCACCATGTTTTAGTCTTGTGTGAGAGTATTCCATGGCTTATAAATAAAAATCAAACAAATACATAAAAATGTACATATTAAGGACACTTTTCATTACGAGGCCTACACTATCGACAATGCAAACAATGGAGCAATCATTTAAAATCGTAGTAGCACGTTGTTGGAATGGAACGCCCTTGCTTCTGAACAATCTATAACGGCTTTCAAAATTAATTATGAACAGCAGATCTTTAAAATATTTTACTTGAAGCTCTTAATTCTCGACAATCCGGTACCTGCACATCGTTCTGACTTTTTATCCTTTTTAATTCTTTCGTTAAGTTGTATATGATAATCAAATGTGTGTAAATTTGTCAAGACCTTATTGGAAAACAATGTATTTCAGCTTAAGGTCTTTTGTATGTTGTAAATTGAATAGGTTGAAATAATATTTTGCAAATAAAATAAAAAATAAAAAACAAGACAAATTGAGTTTCAAAAGATTTGTATATAATGTTAAAATGAGGAATCTGTGAATGTGGAAAATAGCTGCCACAACAAGTATTCGAACCAGGACATTTTTCTGTTTGTGCAGACGCCGTAACTAACAGGGCCATTTGATCTTGTAGGGAATTCAAGTCCGATTGTAACAACCGGATGTTTACACTTGTACATGATTGGAAAAATATTCTCCGACAAGTTTTATAGATCAATCACGGTAAGAAACGATAACTTTAAACCGTCTGAAAGTGTTAAATTGGAGTGAGCCATCTAGGGTTTCATTTAGAGAGTTTATAATAATATACGGTAGGCCTAAACGGTAAAGAAGAGGAACCACAATTGTTTCAAAAATCGCTCAAAAAAGAAATACTGCAATAGGCCTACATTAATCCTCGTTTCACGTCTGTGCATCGAATACTTTCTAGTGTTGTATCAGTTTCCCCCAATCAAAATACCACGGAAAGCACAGTGGCCAGGGGTGGCGCCAGGATTTGCCCGACGGTGGGGGGGGGGGGGGGGGGGGGAGCGAGGTCCCCGACTAGAGGACCGATGCCCCGACGAGGGGTCAGATTTTTCGATTAAAAGGTCTCGAATGTGGTTCTGAAAATTTCGACAATTTAGGGGTTTCAAAGGCTTATTTAATCGACTTCATAGTCTACTAATATGTAGAAAATACATGTACCTCCCCCCACCCCCACCGGCACCCCCGCTGGCGCCACCCCTGACAGTGGCCAGTTGGTTAAAGAGATTTCGCGTTTTAATCTTGTTTGAGGTCTTGTGCGATTTGTCATTTACCTTTACCGTTTACAGTTTATATAGTAGACCTATTAATCATCACCGCATTGCGGTTTGGAGTATATCTCTGTACGTGTATAATATAATATGAAATCAACACGTTTAAAAAAAACAAAAAAAACTTGATTAGACGATAGAAATCTCGGGGAATTAATATAATTCCCCACTTAAACGTAATGAGCAATCCATCCCGTGATTAGCTTTGACGTACCGCGTAGGCTCATCCTACAAAATATCATTTGCTTTAGTATAGTTTTACAGAAGTGTTTCAGTAGGCCTACTGTAATGCCTCTAATAGTGTTTGTATTATTGTAATCACATTGTAACACGGGGCCTCTCTCTTTGTAATCGGGCTTGTGATGCTTTTAGGCATTATGTGTAGGTATACCTATCGTTACATAAATATTCGATTACAGTAATAGATTTAGTAAAGTTTATCACTAAAGTAAATTGGCAATGATAGCTCTTGTGATGTAGTTGACAATTTAAGATGTAAACCATCCCAGTTCTTCTGGATCGATTTTCTGAATTTTCAAAATGGTACCGTTTTGCGGCTTATTGTAAAAGCATCCGATACAGTGTATTAGGAACAATAACTGTCATTGTATATCAAAATGCTAATTGTGAAACATTGATAATGAGCATATTGTACTGTTCCAAAATAAAGCACAAGGCCATGATTCGAGCTACTTAACAAATCAAAGGCAGATTCAAGGGGGATGAAGAACCGGCCCGGGTCCCCATAGTTTTTTTAGACAATGAATGGGTGGGGGGGGGGGCGGGAAGCAAACGCATGTAATATGATCTATGCAAGATCAATTTCTTCTAAGCCAGTATATAGTATTCAAGGTGTGATCTAAAATTTTGAAATCTGTTCTTTTAATACGTTCTTCACTGGATTGACGTTTCACAATCTTTTGAGACGATTACCCTGCATGTCTGTATGTTGATTGAACGCAAAAAGACCTTCAATTTCATCTAATCTCACACTAGGTGAATTTTCACATTGATCTCTGTCACAGGGTTCGGCGAATAATAGTTGTGTATCCACATATATTTGAACTACCAAGCAAAACTCGAGTGGCTCAGTTGGTTACATATATACATATACAATATACATACATATATATATATATATACATATATACATACATATATACATATACATATATATATATCCGACTCATAAGGGGAAACTCTTTTGTCTATGATTTAGCCTTAACGTCGTTTAAGTTTCCCCTTACATATGTATGTGTATGTATGTGTATATGTATGCATTTATATATGACAGCGAGAGGTCGCAGGTTCGAGTCCCGCCAGAGGCATTTTATTACACAATTTCTTTGTTAATTTATTTACAGGACTACATTCGTTGAGAGCTATGCTACACGATGCATTATTAGGTCCTTTATTCGAACACTGTATTTACCATTCTTTGATGATTTATATATAATTTAACAGTGTTAACGGCTAATTTGATTTATATTACGGTATATGAAGTGCAACTACTTGTTTCTAGCCGTACTTATTTTGTACCTTAATACCACTGTACGTTTGTATCTGGGTGGTATTTGCATCTGTTCAACCATGAAGCCTCTGTGGTCTAATAGTTATGACGCTCGCCTTGACAGCGAGAGGTCGCAGGTTCGAATCCCGCCAGAGGTATTTTATTACACAATTTCGTTATTCATTTATTTACAGGACTACATTCGTTGAGAGCTATGCTACACAATGTGTAATTTTGTCCTTTATTTGAACACTGTATTTACCTTTCTTTGATGATTTATATATATATATATATATACATATATATATATAATATTATATATATATATATATATATATATATATATGAGCCTATAGGCTATATAGTAAAGAGACAAACTTTAAACCATTTTTATCGTAATATTTAATAATATATACAAATCTTAAATGTTAATAGAATTTGTGAGAGTCAACATGTATTATGTATAAGGCGGGTGGTGTCACGTCAATGAGTAGGCTATAATCTGTATTCGACAAGTACTTGATTGCTGTCTTCTTGTCAACAATTTTATGTCAAGGTAATCATCATATCTTAATCTATTCCTTCTAGAACAGCTGCTAAAATTTTGCTAATAATACATCTTTTGAGAAGCATATCCTTTTTCGGTTAAAATTTAACTCAGAGCTCAGTTTGATATCTGACTCCTTACTTAGTAGGGATAAGTTGCATATGACATGCTGGGATAAAACTCATTTACATTACTTTTACTTTTGTTTGTATGCGATTTCTTGTACTTAGCAGCTCTTATATGTGTTCCTATCTTTACCACTGTATTTTACATCTTTTTTTTTTAAATTAACAGAAGTTGAACTTTCAGACATTGACTATAGAGAGTGCTGTTGTATTTGAAGCCCATGATATTTTCTCTTCCAGCTTAGAAAAGACAAACAAACAATTCTGTCCAAGCTGATTCTGTCTACACCTATATGAGACACGAACATACCATCAGAAGTCAGTGTAAACCGATCTACATCAACCAGGACGCTGTAACAATTCGACTCTAGGAGCATACATAAAAGGTATAGACTGTTTCTTTATTAAGTAGGATACAATTGACAAACCTTATCATTATATCACGTATGTTGAATTGGGGAGCATATAATAGGAAAAAGAAGAGAAAGGAACAATTTCCGTAATGATTAAACTACTCTTTTGTTGTAAAGTCAGATGTTATAAAACATATCTTCTTTAGTAAATTTGACATCCAGAGTTTTACTGCAATTTAAAATAGGCCTATAAAATCGCCTCAGATCAAGATTCGATGTCGGATTCACGCGGTACAGGTACACTTTGACCTCAGAGGATTACATGTTGTGCCCAATAACCAATAAGTTTTTTATCCTTATTATATAATTTTTGAGACATAACTTTAAGCCGCTTCGAAATTCTTTCACTTTCTTCCCTCTTCCTTTTATCCATTCATATTTTACTTTACAATAACAAAATGATACTTTATTGTTATCCTTATTTATGCACATACGGTACTGTAGTACTGTTATAATTGAAACAGTGGCCTTCGGAACGGCACTCTCAGGGGTAGCGCCAGGATTTGCGTGACGGGGTGCCCGAGGTCCCCGATGGGGTGGGGGAGGGGGAGATTTCCCCGACGAGAGCAAAGTGGGCGTGGTCTAACGTCGCTTAAAATGTATTTAAAGTGGCCCCCGACAATTTAGGTTTCAAGACTTATTTAATCGATTTTAGAGTCTGCAAGTAGAAAATACATATAACTTTTTTTGTGGTTTTTCCCGACGGGGGCGCTGGCCCTCTGTCCCCCGCTGACACCACCCCTGGGCACTCTAATGGTAACGGGCTTGGGCATTTATTTTTTATTCTTAATAATTCACTTCATATAACGACACCACATACTCCAGATTATTCAAGCAAAACGTACAATCAATTTTGTTCGCAATTGAACGAACATTCGAAAGTAAAATTGGTTACCGTTGTTGTATAACCCCAAAAAGGTTTTGGGTTTATGTGATGTTTTTGCCAGCAGTTGTTGGTCAATTTTACGGTGGCGCAGAAAATGCAACACTTTCGTGTAGGCCGTTTAGTATTATTGATGCATCTCAACAAGGATGTTTTTCTCCAGTCAGGTCAATGCTAGGCGCCGGACATTCCAATTCATCCAATTTATTTCATTGGCACGTCAACAGTGAGACTAGTACTAGTAGACATTGACAGTGAAACATTGATGAATTTCCTATAGCATAGTTTTAGAGCGGTTCGTGAACACGACAGCAGCAGTGGATACAGCGATACTGAGCGCATGCGTGTAAATGTTATAGTATTTGATTCTATGGAGAGTCCAAATAAGTTGATGATGAGGTTGAGGTCCGAAAATCGATGCACTTTGCCAAGAACTGATTTTTTTTGTTGTTGAAATCAAAGGCAGAGTTGTATCGCTTAGTGATTAGGATTTTTCCTTCAAATCTCATGCATGGTCCTGGGTTCAATTCTTATGCAAGCAGGACTTTCCTCACGACTAAAAACAACCCTATACTCACAAAGACTTACAAAGTATCGTTCATCTGTAATACTTGTCGAGCTACTTGCTGTTGGATACGAAAGAAAAAAAAATCCTTTAGTTTATTCAGTATTTTGTCTTTTTATCCGATTTCGTCAATAGGCCTATGGAATCCACAAGACCAAACGATGCCTATTAATGTATATGGCGAATAATTCATGTATGTTTATTGGTTGTTTTGGCACACTGAGACTAAGTGTAACCCATAAAAATCTGAAGACAGTGAGGGACAAGAGGCTGGGATGGACAGACCCCCGTGGTAAACCCCTTTTCTTCATGATATTCTGGAAAGTAAGGCTTGGACTTAATTCGTTGTCCAAAAAGACTGCGAGTCTATCAACTAGAGCTCAGAGCGAGAATATGAATTGGGATTCAAAACTCGCTCCGATAATAACTTATTATAAGGCTGCGAATATATAACGGCGCTTCTGTCGTAGGGCAGGACCATGGTATGATAGAGAAATCCTGTCCGATTAATCAAAGATTTTCTATTTACCACTGTCTACTGGAAACAATTTTAGTACCTCTCTTATCATTGTCCTTTTTGTTTGTAGATATTTTATTAAAAACTTGAAACGGCTTTCCCGTTTATAATGTGTGATTAATTCGTTCCTTATATATGACAGATCTGTAGCCATAATGGGGTTGGAGATAGCAAAGATTATCAACAATAGGAGTTCAAATATTTTAGGCCTATCTATATCATACAACAGACGCAACTGAAGCCGTGTTATGTTTTACAAAAGCTTTGACCATGAGTCTAAGGCCTAAAAAATGTTATGTTGGCGTAACGGGCCCCAAAAAATAGGTTAGGTAGGTAGGGATTGTTTTGAATGATCAATATTTAGTAAATGCCTTGAAATCTATAAAATCAATGAAATAAGCCTTTAAAGTCTATAATTGTCATATTTTTTTGCCCTTGGATTGTTTTCTAAAAATTTTGGTTACGCCAACATAACATTTTTTTTAGGCCTAATAATTTATTATTACACTCAAATCGTTGTTTCCTTTGTTTTAACACGAAATTACAACATTGACGGATAATTATTATTTTTTAAATCATTGACTACTAACGATAAACTTTTTATTAGCGAATGTGTATCAATCAAGTTTGAGGTAAGCGAAGGTTCGTGGTGGCAGCTACAGCCTACACACTCTTCTGACAAATCAAGATTATTGATTGATTGATTACTGAATCACTGTTAATGTTTTAAAAATTGACTAGGGTTCGGGACCGCTGTGTCATTTTATTTTCAAAGTCATCAGTGGATATGCCTTATGATGAAAGCGTTTAATAGTTCGTTCTGAAGATATTAAATTTATATCTAACGCAGAATACAGTGTAAGTATAAATTGTATAAGTTGTATTAGTAATATTTGATGTTGTCTATGTACTCTCACATTAAAATACCAAAAAATACTTTTACGAGGGAATAATTTATCCAATCAAATGTGAAGTACAATAAAGACAATATAGGTCTACCTTTAGAAAATGTAAAAGTTAAGGTATAAAGATACTATGTTTAAAACAAATAGGTCTATGTTATTTTTATCTTTTCATCTTTCATTTGGTGATCGAGTGTTCTTGCAGTTAGATACGTATGAAATAGATATTATGACAGTGTTCCACATAGCTCGCAGCAAAGACAATTATTGGTGGATGATATTCCGATGTTATTATAATTGCCGACACGGGAGTATTACCTGCGAGTGATGACGTGATTGTAGTAATGTCTCATGGGTTTTATTATGGCAACTTCACCCCTTGGTAGTCCACGGAGAGTGTTCACAGACGTGTCTTTGCTGACACTTTCCACCTACAGATTGCGTTGATATTGTGACATATTTTAAACGACGCCATGGGTTATAAGTTTCAAACAATCGTAGAGACGTGTGCCTGTCTCTTATACACATCTAGATGTGTATAAGAGACAGGTATCGCTTAGTGATTAGGATTTTTCCTTCAAATCTCATGCATGGTCCTGGGTTCAATTCTTATGCAAGCAGGACTTTCCTCACGACTAAAAACAACCCTATACTCACAAAGACTTACAAAGTATCGTTCATCTGTAATACTTGTCGAGCTACTTGCTGTTGGATACGAAAGAAAAAAAAAATCCATTAGTTTATTCAGTATTTTGTCTTTTTATCCGATTTTAATGCAAAAGAAAAGTAATTAGTATTGAATTAATGGTTGTTGCAAATACTTATATAGGCCTCCTGTATCGTGTGGTATGGTTGCCAAGATGAATGGAATGCCTACATAACATTATTCAAGTAGGCCTACTAGACTACAGTATTTTTTTTTTTAATTTCAATTATTTCATCTCCACAGTAATACAACCCCACGGATTGCATTTGGACAATTTACAGGTTGTTACTTGTCAATGACGAATATGCCCCCCCTGAACATGATTTATGATTTATGCATTCACAAAATAGTACCAAACTGTGATTTATCTATGATTGGATTGGGCAGTCGCACGTCCTTCTTGTGTTTACTCTCAAACATGGTTTCTAAGGTATTTATAGGTTATTTTGTTAATATGCTGAATAAATAAGATAGAAATTTAATGAGGTCTATTATAATTTAAAAGATGTAAAGACTAAAACTAAGAAATAAAGACTAAACTTTCAGAAAAAAAAAATTGTTGAACATTCCTAATGTTATAATACTTTTACTGAGAATTCCATTAAACAAATAAATCATGGTCAAACAGTAAGATTTATATTGTGTAGTTGAACCATGGAGATCTTTTTAGACCTTTGCTCTCTTGTCTAATTCCTTCTCCTGATGCTTTAGCTGGGGTTGACTGAACACAAAAGACGTTTAAGTCTAATGCCGTAGCCAGCTATTGGGACAGTTGTGACAGTCCCACACCATTTTACTAATGGGTCCTCAAAGAATGGGTCCACATTTTAAAAAAATGGGTCATTATGTCCAGCCTGTTAGTGGCGATGATTCGCTGTTGGTCTGTTGAAATGAAATGAAATAAATAATTTTATGCATAAAATTGGTCCAATTTTTGAAAAATGGGTCCACATTTCTCATATTTAAAAATCTAAAATGGGTAAAATTTAGGAAAATGGGTCCAGATTTTTCATATTTTTGCGTAAAATAGGTACCGGTACACTGTTTGAATTTACGCGTAAAGCGGGTTTACCCTGATATTGTCCCGCACTGTTTGAAAATCCTGGCTACGGCATTGTTTAAGTCATTGGTCCCGTGTAGAATGACGTATATGGCACGTTGAAGAACGCACTTACAGAAAAGGGCATTTATAGGAATTGTCACTGGAGCCCAGGAACTATTCTTTGAACTTGCCTAGGTTAGTCTTATCACGTGTGTGTTTAACGCGGAAGAAATGAAAACCCAAACGATTCCTGCTAGAATATGTCATAGGCCTATTAGACGAAAAGGTCTAGCCGTAGATACTTTCAATATCAACATCAACACACTCTGCCACAGGCAAACACCAATAACGGTCAGACAACAAATACTTCACACGTTCGTCTATCCACTTTTATTATGTAATTGTGAGCTTTTGGACAACAACAAATAAGATTGATGGAAGAATAAATGTCTTGCAAAGATCTTTATTACGAAGAATAAATTATATAAAACGAACAGACAAATTCAGTCACGCAGATATAGGCCTATCTATACAGTGAAACAAACTAAACCGAACTATGAAAAGAAGTTAGAAGAATTAACTGGAACACATGTGAGGCTACCAGAACAGACACCGGCAAAGATAGAATTTAAAGAATACATGAGAAAACCAAAAGGGAACAGAAGAAAACCTAAGCATACACATGAATCAAACAAGTAAATAAAGGTCAATTTAAATTATAAATAACGATTGTAAGAGGCTGAGCCGTGGAAGAGAGTGAGTGCAAGGCTAATGGTTTGACCATGGAGGAATAGGCCTAAGTGACTTGACTAAGCCGAAAAGGCCAAAAGAAGAAAAAGAATAAATTGTCTTCAAAGTGCAGCATTCACTTTAGAGAATATTTTACTAGGTCTACGAAGACACACAATGTTTTGACAAATTAAAATACTTCATAACCAATGACATTCAATTATTTCTTTTAAATATCTAAGAATGTTGCTTAACAGCATGAAATTAAATAAAATGTCCCGTCGCTGAAAGCAATAAGACCTTAGAGAACGTGAACCAACATAGACTTGTCATGTCCAATCAAATATCATGGACTTAAATTCACCGGTATTACGGCGAAGACGCTCCACGTATGGAGGAGAGAGCATGTTATCAATTCGTACATAATTCAAATTGATCGAATGCTTAATGTATATCGTTTAATTCGACCGGGGGCTTAACTGTTATTTTTAGATTGAGATGGACAGATTTATAACTTCTAGGCCTTTCACTTGTGCTATTTGTCCGTCATTTATTATACAAGTATTAAAAAACAATACACACGTGCTAATCTTCATTGTGTGTGTGTTTAAATAATATCATTTACTGTAGTAAGACAAATTTGATATTAGCGGCTGTGAATTTTATGAGCTTAATAGAACTGCAATTAGTTTCAAAACAGCTACAATAATTTATTTAGGACCGTTGGCAATAAGCGCTATATAAATCTAACATGTTATTATAACCTCCGCCAGAAGATATATGTTTTCAGTCGTTTAAGTTGGTGTTGTATGTGTGTGTGGGTGTGTGTCGCGTTTTTTTTGTTTTTGTGGGTGTGCGCGCACGTGTGTGTGTGTTTTAATTATCTCAAAAACGGCTGCACAGATCTAAATGAAGAGGGAGTGTTAGTATATGACCCTGTGAAGAAATGATTAAATTTTGGTAACGGTATGAGGACCATTTAAAAACGTCTTAGACCAGATATTTCAAAAGCTTATTAATTGATCTGAATGAAACTTTTTAATCAAGATATAAAGAAGAAATTAACAAAGTTTTGTGACGACCCAAATTAGGTGGCTTGTCACATTTTTTCTAATACTACTATATGTTGCTTGGATTCTGTGTTCGGAACGTCATATGTATAGTGAAAAATAGGCTTATAGTGAATTTTGGGCAAAGAATCAAAATCTTAAAATGCCCTGGCGCACTCTAAGCAAGTTCTCGTAATCTCGAAATCTCCGATGAGGGCAGTATAATAGAGGCCGTAGAGTGTGTTGGCCCTAACGACCGCCCATACAAAAGAAATCTATTAATCAATCAATCAATCAACCAACCAACCAACCAACCAACCAACCAACCAATCGATCGATCGATCGATCGATCAATCAATCAATCAATCAATCAAGCAGCAGAGTATTCCTAGTGTTCCATTAAAATTATGCGACAACTCTGGCTCGTTTTCTAGAGGTATGAATGTAGGTTAGGGTGTAAGAGGGGCCTGATTCAATTCCAGGATGAGCCCTCTATTTTTGTTTTCTCTAAAAATAAAAAAAAAATCTATTAATCAATCAGCAAAAAAGAAGAATCAATTAGCAAAAACAAGCCCTTTATTTGTTTTTTTTTAACAAAAAAAAAAACCAAAAAAAACAAAACCAGTCAATTAGCAAAAAATCACACAGTTAGCGGGGTATTCATAGGGCTCCTTATCGGAGCTAAAAAAAATTTCAGACCAAAGTGGAAATAGTACCCCTCTTTAAAATAACAAGAGCGACCGTGTTAAACTGATGTCACCTCTATTTAGCGTTTAACGCTTCGGGTATGCAACTTTAAAACGAGGCTTTTTGTTAGTGACACTATTAAAATATGCTTAAATCATAGAGGAAATATCCTCCATCCATGCTTAAATACAGTACCGTACACAGTGGCGTAATTTATTATATTTGATTTTCGGCAAGGGTTCATAATAAAAGATGAATAAAAAAAATATAAATGTTTTAAAACTGAAAAAAAAAATACGAAAACGCGATTCGAACCCATGACTGGTGTTCTTATTCTTTTAGAACACATCGCTAACCGACCGTGCCATCCATGCGTGGTAATGTTGCTGAAACCCCTGTTTTGTTTTGTAGGTGTAGGGGGAACCCTTGAGTCGAACGTAAACAAAGGGCCTTGAACGTTAGTTGGAAATAACCTCTAGTTTATGTGTACAGAATTTCTTGCAAAACTGTTGTTCAAAACTGGCGACCCTGGACGCTTTGAAATTCTGGTAGCAAGAACAACAAGAACACCAACAAGAACAGCAGTGAGGGTCTGGGGTCCGCCTTACGCGGACCCAAAAAGTGTTTGGGCGAGTTAAGGCCTGTTTGTACTTCAACGATAACGATAACGATAAAAAGCTAAAAAAAAATTGTTCATATAGAAAATAAAAGAAATAAGAAGTTTTTACACTAAAACGATTCGATAACGATTTATTAGTTATGCGATAACAACATATTTTGACAAATCAAATCAGATGACTTCATAACCATGGAAAAACATTAAAATCGTAATAGTAGTATTAGCAACGATTTTATCGTTTTTCCATGATTATGACGTCATCTGATTTGATTTGTTAAAATATTTTGTTATCGTATACACGATAAATCATTATCGAATCGTCCTAGTGTAAAAAATTCTCTTATTTTCTAATGAACAATCGCTTTTTAACTTTTTAATCGTTACCGGTACCGTTATCGTTGAAATATAAACAGGCCTTTACTGTTTGTTTTTTAACAGGAGCTAGTGAAGTTAGTTGGGGTGGTAGTGGTGGTTTAAGTAAAGTATACAAAGGGATTTGCGATGGGCGGAGGTATGCTCTCTACTGAGTGCTCTTGTTATTATTATTATGTTGATTATTAATTTTATTATTTTTTTTTATATATTTAAAACATCTTTAGGCAGGATAACATATACAGGCGAGATCGTACCGCTGTTTTACAATATGGTACTGTATATAGGTCTATAATATAGGTTGCACGTTTTCGATATCAATACAAAAATATTGATATTAATAACAATGTTAATAATAATATATCATTATTCTTATTATTATCATGATAATTCACTTTTTCTTATTTCACAATTCATTTCCTATTTTCTTTGTCTATACTTATATTCTCGGCCCCGAAACTCAGAAATACTGGGATGGTGTCCGGCGGGGGATAGTTTTTACCATTGTTTAGTTAGGTTTGTAGTTAAGATAAAAGTTGTGACAGCCCCGAAACCTTGACTCAGGAATACCGGGATGGTGTCCGGCGGGGGATAGTTTCTACCATTTTTATCTATTTAAGTAATTATACAGTATTTGTCCTACCTGGTAATCCCGGCCCCGAAACCTTGACTCAGAAATACCGGGTTGGTGTCCGGCGGGGGATAGTTTTCCACCAAAGTTTTAACTGTTGTTTATTTTGTTGTACTGTGATAGTTACTTTTGTTGTTATTGTAATATGTGTTTGCAGGACCATATTGTAAAACAGCGGTAAGATCTCGCCTGTATATGTTATCCTGCCTAAAGATGTTTTAAATAAATAAAATAAAAAAAAAATAAAAATAAAAATAATGATGAGGAAATAATGATGTTTATAATAATATTGTTTTTTTTGGACAGACTTCTGAGTTATTAATCAATAAATACTCCATGATTCTTTGATTCCTTTGAATAAAGTTTAAGTATCCCATGAGAATAGTTTTCTCACTAAGTAGCCATAGGCGCATAATGTAACCCTGCAAACATAATACTTCGAACATTTACAATTAGGGGTGAGTAAGATTAATTACGAATAGCAAGGAATGGTGCTGTTTAGAATATTTGACGGGGATAATTTATAGGTGTTGTGGATTAGAGAATGATGACTTATTGATCATTTTCCCAATTACTTATTTTAGCCTACAGTACTTGATACCACACAAACTGTCAAAATACTGATTGAAAGTGACGTTAATTGGGTTCAAATCAGAACGAGCCAGTAGGAGACGGATTAAGTAAGTATAATTGAACGACGTTTAATGTGACGTCATTTTGAGACAGACACCGTTTTGTTGCAATCGGACCTTGTTGACCCCACGACGATAGTCGGAATGCTGATGATCAATTTACTATATTCATCATCCAATATAGTGTACATGTAGAGTTTTATGTTCAGTACAGTAGTTATTCAACTCCTTGACTATATCTAGGCCTAGCGTTATAATCACATAGCTTTCGATAATATGACTTATTAATCCATCAGCATTTGAAAAGGCTGCATACCTTACCAATAGATCCATTAAATAATATAAGGTACTGTTTTGATTGATTGATTGATTTATTTATTTCGTATTCAAAAGAGAAATTGACATTGATAAAAAGATAAAAAAGGTACGTAAAAACAAAAGTGAGACATATTTGTCTGGATGACCCATTAAAAGCATCGTGTCATAAAATAAGAATTATTTAAAATGGAGCTCTGGCCTTTGTGCTTTTTGTTAAAATAGTCCGTGCAGATCAAGTCACGAGTTCAATAAATCCAGGATGTCAGTGTCATTGGTGATTTTTGTTTGTAAAAATCACAGAGGTACAGTATGCTATTAGTACGGAGTATTAGTAGTAAGAACACGGAGGTGGAAATTGCTAAAAAAAAATAAATAAAAATTGAGGCAGAGGTAAAATGTCAAACCAATAAAAAAAAAAGCCAGTAAAATTTGTTTGGTCTTATCTGTATCTTATGTGCAGTAGCGTAGGTATGACTATGTAATACCCTTTATAATACAGTTACAACAATATACTGCTGTGCAATAATAATTTTCTATATTTGAAAAGTGTAAAATGAGAACAAAATAAGTACATTTTGAGGCTGAAATTGGCAAGAATATAAAAACACCAAGCCTGAAACTTACTGGTTCTTAAAAAAAAGTGTAACTTCAATTACAAAAAAGGTCAGCTTACAGAGTAAATAACAGCACCAGACATTTTAGGGACCCTCTACATAATAGAACCAGAAACAATAAATAATAATAATAATAATAACTTAAATAATAATAATAATAATTATTATTATTATTATTACTATTATTACTATTATTATTACTATTATTATTATTATTATTATTATTATTATTATTATTATTATTATTATTATTATTATTATTGTTATTATTATTATTATTATTAGAAAAAAACCCCCCATAAAAATACATAACACAATACGTTAATTCTTGACTGATAGGGTGGGATACCGGTAATGCTTCACAGGTAAACCAGGAAAATTAGGTAACTTCATAAACAACGGAGCCTTAAATAAACTTCCCAATTGCTTTTTCTTTATTGCTGCAAGAATCGGTAGTCCGCAAATAAAAGATATGTTCATTTATGTCAAAAAATTATTTTTGTAACGGTATAAGACTCGAGACAATGTTGATCATTAATCTGCTTAACTCCAGCCATTAGATATTGTACGTTTTTATTATCAATCATCATCTTTATTATCATTGCCACTATTATTATTATTATTAATTTGCAATCACCAGGGCACAATGTTATTCATATTTAATTTCTAATTCCATATCTTCGGAGAGTTTTCAGTAAATCTACAAGACACATAAAGGCGGGCATTAAATCTCTACATATTGTAGCTAATATATATTTAAAAAAAATCATATATCTGACATATTGCACATAACAAACGACGAAATGTGAAATAATATATTAGTGTTATATGTAATAACTTGTCAAAACTATCGGAATATAAGTTGTGCAAAATCCTTAGCGATGTCGTTGAGTGATATTTGCCGTGAGCCTAGTTAGAATTACTTTCCCGCATTCCAGCATTAGAAGCCATAAAAATGGAGTTGGTTGTGTTTGCATAGCTTGTTGCTTGTGTTGATACGATGCTCGAGGACTATCGCTCGTCTTTTTTCAGCGGTATCCAGGGTGAAAATATTCTGACATGTTTAAAACCAAAACAATGATTTGTAATGGAGTTTTGAGATTAGAGATTCAGGACGTGTCATTGAATAGCTCACGCTGTTTTTTAGAGCCATAATTGTAACCCTAGTGATTTGAGCCAACGTCCCGACATGTACACCTATTTAAATGTTTAAGGTTGCAATATCGAATTTGAATAATCAAATCATTAACATAGCGTATAGTGAACAGTATGTTATCTGGTCACATAACTGTGTATTCAGCTTACTCCATTAATTTCCCTCAGTTACCCACCGCATGCATCACGCGTTGGCCTAATTGATAGGGGCACAGTGTATACGGCGTCGATTGCTCAGAAAGTTCTTACCGAAACTCCTCATAATTTTGAATTGTACTTTATTTAACTATAATTTACATTATTTTTGATATTTCAACTCACTTTATAATTATATATAGACCTATAATTATGGAAATTGGCTAATTTACTTAATGTATGTCATATTTAATATTATATATATATATATATATATATATATATAGAGAGAGAGAGAGGCCCTATATAGGCCTATATATTCATTATAAAAAAATTGTAACACTGTATTTAATTATTTAGGTCAACTTCAGTATTTAGCACACTAATGCTGGTTTTACTAGTTTTATCATTTATGAAAATGATGATGATGATGAATGATACTGCTGTAATATTATGACGTTAGTTATGATTCATAAGGCGGTGTCAATCGATATCAACAGTTCACTGCATAACTGAATATAATGACGAAAATTTAAAATATGACAGACGTTTTATATTTCATAGGTAATATCCATGCTTGGACAAATATTGTTATCTTATCCTAAAATCTATTTTAGTCACAGGATTCAGAATGCCTGGTGCATGTGATAAATGTTCATCAGCTGTCACTTCAGTTTAGAAAAACAAAACAATTAATTGCAGCAAGGGAACGACTTTTCAGACATTTCTGCTTGTAAAATTATTTGAAGGTCGAGATACGTGTTAAGTATTAAAAGCTTTTTGCTCTTTGTGAATATAGTAAAAATATAGGCCTATAGGCCGAGGCCTACGAATATTGGTAAGATGTATGTACATGACCAGTATATTTCAAATAATGAAGTTGAAATTACAGTTAAGTAACCTGACTTAATGTAATACAATGTGAAAATAAAATTAATAGTTTTATTGAATAATTAATGAACATTCGGCGCCTCATACTATTGGGCCTACCAAGTAGAAAGCTAGCCTAATTGGACCAACCCTTATTTCTTCAGGAGATATAAGACACTATTGTTTATAATCTAGAGCATAAATCTAGGGTAAAATTAAATTACCTCAGTCAGCAGTACTACACTAGTTCTACAAAACTCGTCCCCGTCGGTATGCGAAGAAGCTACTTGATATTTACTCTCAAATGATCGTTATCATAGAAAGCAACAGTGATGAATGAAATATTGAGGACCAATCAATCAGAAAACATGGTGTAGACACGTTGGTTGGGCCTAACGATATTTTACATCTGCTGTGCAGGTCTGGTTTACTAATAAGTATTCGCATTCATCATAATTGAAACATTGACGAAGGAAAAATAACACATTGTTATTCCCTTCCCCGTCCCGTAATATTAGGTAACTTCGGAATGAGTAAAATCAGTCACGTCTACGTGCGCATCATGAAGGCCGGAACATTATTTAATCCACATTGTTATAAATAAGTTCAATGATTGACTGATAAACTTGCAATTTAGGCCTATGCCGCAAAAAAATATATCCCTGGTCGTGCTCTATCATGAAATTGTCCAGATTTTTAAAAACCCGGTACAGGAGACCCATGTTTGTAGTTAGTATACATCAGTCTGTGTCGAAACATACAATAGGCTTATATACAAAAACTACCGATTTTATGAATTTAGACATGTAGGCATATCTCATTGTCCACAAATTATAGACGGATAACTGCGAGGAAGGCTACTATGAGAAATTTTCAATACAACCGGCGTTTTCCTAATGGCTTATACTGTAACAGTTTCCATAGGCCTACGCATCGATTTACTTTTAGATATTAGTTTAATAATAGAGACGAATATAATAAGTCAGATGACTGTATTCAATAAGCATTAGTGCGCGTATACTGTAAAGCCTACAAACTTTATTTGATTAATTAACAAAGACAACAATTTTAACAATAATACTGTACTACGTTTATTATAATATTAATGCTCGACGTTTTCACTCATTAAGCACAACACGATGAAACAATCAATAAATCAATCAAATTTGTTCACAGCATTTTAAGTCCTTATCCGAGAAGATTTGGTTCTGCCAACCAAACCCTAGACGAGGAGCGACTCCGACCAACGCCGATGTTAGGCTGTTAGTAGCGACCCTGCCTTACCACTCAGATTGTATGCTGATGTCCCCAACCAGCAGTAAATGAAGATTCTGCATCAGTTAAACTGCTTCGCCCAATGAAGACTCTGAAGCTGTTAGTCTCTGGCCCCGACCATTCATTTAAAGTCGCTAGCCCAATGTGCATCGGTCGGCCCAGTTGTCGTCTTCCTTCAATCGAATGCCGCATACTCTTTTTGTTAAAACTCTGCAATGAATGGCTTGGCCGATGAATGAGCGCGCTTTAGCTCATACCTGGCTGCCATCTGCTGCAATCTGTTGCCAATATTTTAATAGTAATATTTTTATCTTTTTTAATTACTTTGTATTTGTAATGTAATTTAATTCCAATTTTTTTTTGTATAAATTTTAATATACCTGAGTAATAATAGCGAATGTGTTCGGTAATCGCCAAAAGTAGTGAAATGAACTAGAAACATTCGTAATCCCTTGGTTGCATTTGTTGTGAATTGATGATACAATATAGAGTAGGATTTTGATTTTGAAAGCGTCGATCCTGCCCTAGTTTTTTTTTTCGCCTGTACAAAGAATTGACGAGGTGGCACTCAGAGCCGGATTTTGAGACGGGTTCTCGCCCCTGCGCTTTATCTTGATTGGTACCTCCGGCAATTGACTTCTTATGTCATGAGCTGTTTCCATTGTTGATTTATACGGTACC